GGCGCCCGACTGCGACGCGCAGGTCGAGCAGTCGTCGAAGGCCGAGATCGCCGAGCGCGGAGGCGATAGACGACGGGCGCGATGCGAGCTGGCAGCGACCACCACGTGCGGAAGCAAACTAACGATGGGACAGGCCAAGCGTCTCAAGGGCATGGCCAGGTTAGCATGCAACAACCCGCGGCTCGAGGAGCGCGTCTACGAGAGCCGCATGGAGGCAAGTGGTTTTTTTCTCGACGTCAGCGCCGCGGCATCGACATCTACGAGACCCTCGCGGGCGAGTGCGGTATCACATTGCACTCCGCCGACCGCGCTCGCGGCTGGGGCACGCGGGCATCAGCAGTGCTTCAAGGCATTACGGCATGGGGCATTGTTCATTCCAAGCTCACTGGCAGTCAGGATGAGTCGGTGGCATCACGCTTTGGAAGCACATGGCCAATAAGGTTACTGACACGACGCAGCTCACGGGCGCAGAAGACATGAAGCCCATGTCGGCTTCCATCAACCAGTCGCGCAACTCGCGCGTGCGTCAGCGTGGGGCGTCGCCCTACTAGCGGACGCCCGGCAAAGACCCGGGGATCCCCGACAGCATCGCGGACCCGGCCAATTCTGCCGCGGTGCGCAGCGCAACGACCGCCGACGCCGAGCTGACCAAGAGGGCACTTATCAGGGCACTTGCGGACATGGCGTTCACGGAGTACGACGGGTCAGAGTCTCTGAAGAGGGTGATGCTACGTGTTAGCCGACCTTATCGAGGAGGCTACGTCGCTGGGGGCCGAGTTGCTCACAGGCCAAGAATAAGCAGGGCGAGCAGTGCCCCGCCTGGTTTACCGTGCCTACTGTGGGTGGCCCTGGCGGGAGCGGCGGTGCTGACGATAACAACGTTTGGGTTCAGTCTTCCGATCATCATATCCTAGTCTCGAAGGAGCAGCTTCGAGAAGCGCATGGTACTGAGCTCTGGGTACCTGACGAGGAGAGCCTGATTGAGCTACGCAGAGCTTCCCAGGCACCCCCTGAACGTTACCACGACGAGCGAGCAGTGCCACCCGATGAGATCAACCCCAACGACGTCATCGGGTCCGACCTCGCGGCAGAACTACGAGATGAAGGCGACCGTGAACTCGTCGGAGGTCCACCACCACCGCCGGAACGACCATAACCATAACCATATTACAATTACTTGGAGCCGACGCTGACACAGCGAACAGCGATATTTTGCAGAGAAGACGAGCGACAACATCCTACCTGCAGTCCGACCTCTACCAGTTGAGGCGGAAGGAGACAGACGAGCTGCTCGACGACCTCGTTTTGCAGAACCGGAGACGCCGAGTACACCGCCAATGTCTCGGGCGCCAGGCATCTACGCTTGCATCAACGGGGCCGAGAAGGATCCATTTTCAAGCGCGAGCAGCACGTACTCCTCGAGGTGCCAGCCTACGAGGTCTACCTCGATAATAGCGACCAGTTCACCTTGACCAAGAAGGACTAGAAGGCACTCATCCGCGAGATACCTTGCCCCCAAATACCAGAAGAACAACGTGGTCTATATCGAGGCACTCTGGTGCTCGAGTGGTCATCGTGGCAACGTTTCTCAGCCGTGAAAGCGTCAGACATCAAGACCTCCAAGAACATCGAGAACGACCCTGAGAAGCGGAAGCGCGTGATCCCGTCATGAGTCTGCTATCGTGCTGAGGACGATGGACGTGGAGTCACATGAAGCCAAGGCCAGAATTGTGGTCATCTGCTACAGCGACCCCGATTTCATGACCCTCAGGCGCGACGCACCTATTCTGACCAGAGTTGGCTTCTACATCTCATCGCAGACGATCGCCAGTTGGTGCTGCAAGCTCTTTGGCGGCGACGTCCCCACAGCATTCCTGCAAGCCGACCAGGCCAAGGCATGGCGCGCAAAGCCGATCTACCTGCGTCAACCCGCAGAAGGCCTACCAGGTGTTCGGCGGGGTTTCCTACTGTTGGTTCAGAGGCCCATCTACGGTTTCGTGAACAGCCCGCGCTTGTGGCGGAGAGAGCTACGCGACCTTCTGATCAACATCAGCGGTGAGCAGCGCATGTTGGAAATGGATCTGTTCTGTTTCTACAGCAAAGCGATGCGCCTTATCATGGCTGTCGGCATCCACGTGGATGACCTCATCGGGGGCGCTTGTGCCAGAGACGGAGACTACTCGCGCGTATCCGCCAGCGGTTCACCTTCGGCAAATGGCGGCACAACGAGCTGACCGACTGCGGCAAGCACATCACTAGGAACAAGGACGGCCAGATCTTCATCAACCAGAAGGAGTTCTGCAGCCAATGTATTCCAGCACCGCTACCACGCTGGAGGTCACCAATCCGGAGGCGACCCTTACTGTCGAAGAGAAGACCATTCTCGCGAGTGGAGTTGGATCATGCCAGTGCTTGGTTGGCCAGGCGCGTCCAGACCTGGCACCAGCTACTGCCTTGGGACAATGTTGAAATCCAGCGATCTCCAATCTGATGACAATAAACCGAGTACTGCGTGAAACACGAGATTCTTAGGATGCTGTTTTGCGTTTGGTCCCCTGGGATTTTTCCAGATGTGTTCTGATCACCTTCGCGGATGCAGCAGTGGCTAATGTTCGGGGGAATCAGAGTCAAGCTGGTTTCATGGTGTTTCAAGCTGACAAGGACAGTTTGAGTTCGCAAGGTGGGGAGTGAACTTTATTTGGTTAGCGTTTGCATCGCGTTCGCCGCGTTGCGCGCAGTACCCTAGCTGCCGAAGGTATGGCGATGGATGCTGGAGTGCATGCCGCGTATTGTCTTCGTCATTTGTTCGCCGAGGTGCTATTTCAGAGTTTCAAGCCGGGCATTTTGGGTGAGCGGCCGAGCTATTTCAGGTATTTGAGATGGCTACACATTGCAAGCCTCCTTACGACATCCAGACAAAAGGAATGGCCCACCCCGACAACTTTGGAACATCGTTTGTGTATTGCTATCGCTGCGGTCGCTCATGTTGCTGACGAGTGTGATAATGATAGTTCGAACTATGCCGTGTTCTGGGTGCCGACCGATAAGCAGTTTGCAGATTATTTGACCAAGGTCGGACCTCCGAGCCAGTTACGAGATATTATATCGAAGAACCGTCTGGGCTTGCGAACGGATAGCGGCTGACCATCGTGAGTGAGATGATAATGATGTTTGGCTTTCAGTTGTTTGGTTAGGTGTCACGCTTGAGACTGCATGATCCCATGCCCATGTGTACGATGTCCGTCTTTCGCCGCCGTGCGAATGTATGCTTGTACGACCTCTGTGTAAGCTATCGTGTGAATCCGAGCTTTTCTAGAGCAGGGAATTCGTAGGCCTGTTCGGGAGATGTTGGGCAACACGAAAGAGAGTGAGTGCAACATCACACACGTTTTCACTTGCCCTTAATATCCTCTCTTTCGTTGCACGCCTTCATTTACTTCTGTTCGCTTCTCTCACTGCCCCTCTCCGCTGCTGTTTGGTTTCGGAGGGCCATTGAGCTTGTGGCGACAAAACCGGCTCGTGTGCAAGCGAGCCCAGTACAAGCAGACGAGACCCCGAGAAATCTACCCAGAGGTCCCTGTGAACGGGGACCAGCTCCGCAGAGCTCCAATCAATGCGCTTATTGATTTCAAGTCACCGAACTCCGAGGAGGAGGAGGCTGAGGAGGAGGAGGAGCCTGGCCAGAACTGCGGGGCGGGTGGCCCCCAAATGGAGGCCAGCGACGCCCCACAAGGAGGCCCAAATCCTGGACACTCGTGAGCCCTGCATCTTCACTCCCGCGCTCCGCCATGGAGTTGGCGACCGCGCGGCAAGTCCACGCATCGCTGGTCCATGCTTGCGCGCCCCCGGGGTGAAGGCCCAGCCGCGACGACGGCAGCTCCCTCTCGACGTGCCCATCGCAGTTTGCGCTGGGACGCCCGGGCCGGAGAGGTCCCCAAAGGACCACGGGAGCGTCGCCGTCGCCAGACGAGGAGGAGGAGGAGGAGGAGGAGGAGGAGGAGGAGGAGGACGAGCAGGACGAGAAGGACGAGAAGGAGAGGAGGAGGAGGGAGGGGAGGAGAGGAGGAGAGGGAGGAGGGAGGAGGAGGAGGAGGAGGAGGAGGAGGAGAGGAGGAGGAGGAGGAGGAGGGAGGCGGAGGAGGAGGAGGAGGAGGAGGAGGAGGGAGGAGGAGGGAGGAGGGAGGAGGGAGGAGGGAGGAGGGAGGAGGGAGGAGGGAGGAGGGAGGAGGGAGGAGGAGGAGGAGGAGGGAGGAGGAGGATGGAGGAGGAAGGAGGAGTGAGGAGGGATGAGGGAGGAGGACCTCCCAGTTGGTAACGGCCCAGCTAGGAAGACAATGGTTCCCGTTCGCCCGTACAGTTTGCTCGGAGACGATCTGGCCAGAGAGGCCTCGAAGCTGAGGGACGTCGCTCTGGCCCGACACTTCCTCGCAATTCTCAGTCAAGTTCGTAACGGCCCACCTGCGACGACAGCGGCTCCCGCTCGAAAACTCCTTACAGTTTACTCCGGGACGACGTGGCCAGACAGGCCCCGAAATTGAGGAACGGCGCTCTCGCCAAAGACCGCCTCGCAATTCAATAAAGTTGTTGTGTTGCCCGTGGGCGCGTTTGCACGCATTACGGCCATAGCGGGGCGGTGCGTATACAGAGTGCACTGTTGAATGCTTCTCCTAGGAGCTGGTAAAAGAATAAGCCTCCTCCAACAGGGTGTAGAAGGGAAAGAGAGAGAGAGAGAGAGACAAAGAGAGAGAGAGAGAGAGAAAGCAAGAAAGAGAGAGAGAGAGAGAGCGACCAAATGAAGGTCAAAACCGTTGTTGGGATCACATGTTCGCAAGATAGTAGTTGTCGTTGTCGTCGCCGAGGTCTTCGTCGCCGTCGCCATCGTCCTCCTCCTCCTCCTCCTCCTCCTCCTCCTCCTCCTCCTCCTCCTCTGGGTACCCTGACTCCTCCTCCTCCTCCTCCTCCTCCTCCTCCTCCTCCTCCTGCCCCCCAACCGCCTCGGCAGTCAGTCTGGCTCCGACGCCGGGGCCCGAGCCCCACAGTGCTTGTCGCGCACCCTCGCGCGCGCGGCGGCGGGGCCTCCCGCGCCCAGAAGGGCCCCCGCGGCACCGATGCAGCCGGCGCGTGACGCCGCGCCCGGGCTCTACGCGAGCGTCGACGGCGAGGACGCGGGCGCAGCGGCGGCGTCGGCGGCCGGGCGGCCGAAGGCCCCGGCAGAGCACAAAGTGCCGCGAGCACACGCCTGCGGAGGGCCGCGCGGAGTTGCCGGGTCGGCGCCAGGGCCCCAGCCCTCCCCACCCTCCCTCCTCATCCCCTCCTCCTCCTCCTCCTCCTCCTCCTCCTCCTCCTCCTCCTCCTCCTCCTCCTCCTCCTCCTCCCCCTCCTCCCCTCCTCCTCCTCCTCCCCCTCCTCCTCCTCCTCCCTCCCTCCTCCTCCTCCTCCTCCTCCTCCTCCTCCTCCTCCTCCTCCTCCTCCTCCTGGCGCCTCGGAGAGACGTCAGGGCGGCCCTGTTGTGGCCCCACGGGGGCAGGCATCGGTCCTCGAGAGCGTCAGGGAGCAGTGGGGTTGAAAGCCCCCCCCCAGTGAGGGGGTCGAGAGGTCCAGAGAGGGCCCGCGCATCGAACAGAGCCAGAGAGCCGGGTGTCTGGGCACAGCTCAGGCGCGCTCCGCACGCTGTGGAGGGGTGTGGCGGTAGGGGGGGTCTGTAGCGCCGGCCCAAGAGCTCTTCGCGCTGGTCCCCGCAAGGCTACTCTTATGTTCGGGCCTGTCCCTCTACAGGGGGGACATTCAAAAGTAGTGAAAAATATCGTCTGGGAGCGATGTTTGCACTATTTCTGCTCATGTGGGGGGCATTATCTGAGTTAAACAAATCGCGCAAAATCCCCCTGTAAGGGGGCACGCCCGACTTAAGTCCATTCCGAGTTCCCTGGGTCCCCCCAAAGGCGCGAAGATAATCGCCCCTCGCGCGTCGCGGCTCGGGCTGGATCAGCGCCCCTTCTCCAGGGCGGTGCCGCGGTGGGCGCGAAGAGAATCGCGAGTCCTGCATCGCGGGGCGCGATGCGCGAAGCTAGGTTGCCCAGGGTTCTATGAGAGGAGGAGGAGGAGGAAGAGGAGGAGGAGGAGGAGGAGGAAGAGGAGGAGGAGGAAGAGGAGGAGGAGGAACGGAGGAGGAGGAGGAGGCGGAGGAGGAGGCGGAGGCGGAGGCGGAGGCGGAGGCGGAGGCGGAGGCGGAGGAGGAGAAGAAGGAAAAGGAGGAGGAGGGAGGAGGAGGAGCAGAAGGAGGAGGAGGTGGGTGACGGCCTGCGCTCGGTGACAGCGGGGGTGAGCGCATCGCAGCGGCCTGGATGGTTCTAGGCCTCCTAGATGGGGTCCGACTACATGGGGTCGGAGGATCGCGCCGCAGCGCCGATGCATCGACGATGCGGCTCGATGTGGAGAACGTGTTTCCCCACGCCGACGTCGCCGATGCATCGCCGACGTCGCCGATGCATCGCCGGTGCATCGCCGATGCGTCGACGAGTGGCGAGGCATTGGCGATGCAGCGCGCGAGCCCTCGACCCCATCCACTCGCACCTCTTCTGGGAGGCATCTCTGACAGTGACGGTAGCGGCCGGGACGGTGATCGGCGGACGGCCCCCCCCCGCGCTCCAGGCCTGGACGGTGGCGGCGCTGATCGCCGGCACCGCCGCCGTGGCCGGCACGGCCGCCTGGCTCGGGGCAGGCCGCGGCGGCCACGAGCTCCGGGTCGCCCCGCAGGCGGCGGCCCCGCTCGGGTTGCAGGAGTCGGGTGTTGCCAGAAGTGCCCCTGGCCCAAGGTACCCCCAGCTTTTGGCTCCATTTTTAGGCCCCTGGGGCCCTCTGGGCCTCGTTGGGGGTGCTCTGGAGGCCCTCTGGGCCACCCCGAGAATCCTGGGGGCACCTTGGGTCAGGGGCACTTCTAGCAACACCCGAAGGAGGTGAGCGCCCCGGGCGGCACGCTCGTGCCGGGAGTCGAGTACAACCTCGACGGCGGCTGGTTCTCGGCGGCGCGCGCGGCCCTGAGATCCGGGCGTCCCAGGTTCGTTCCCCACGGGGCGTCTGTTTGCCAGCCTCGGGCGGATCGAGCCGGCCGGTTGGGTAAAGCCGCAGAACGATGGCGCCTCGGGTTCTGATCGTGGTTTTGCTGCTGCGCGTTGTTGCGACTTTCTCGCGTCGTCGGATCTCAGGGGAGGGGTCGGCGCAGGAGCCTTTGCAGAAGGCTGGGTAGTCGAAGGCCAGACTGTCAGATTGGATTGGGCCCCACGGGCCAATCTGGCCTGGCCAAACTGGGTGATTTGGGTGATTCGCCAGACTGGATTCGCGTTGGCTCCCTCGCCAGATTGCCCCCGTTTGCCAGATTGGGCCTGCCAGATTGGCGCCAGATTGGCTTCGACTACCCAGGAAGGGCACAGGTGCCTTTCAGAGGGGCTCCCAGACGCTTCTTCTCGGAGGGCCCCTGCCACCTGAGAGCCCCGCCGCCTCCTCGGGAGACCCCCCCCGCGCGCCACGCCCCCCGGCGCGCGCCGCCGAGGTTCCAGTCCATGGACCACATCCCGACGGCGGTGCTGTGCCAGACGCTGTGCCAGGGCGAGCCCAAGTGCAACTACTTCACCTGGGTCGAGGACGCGGGCCTGGACGGGTGCCCCAGCCAGTGCTGGCTGAAGGGCGGGGAGCTCAAGTACGAGGCGCCGAAGGCGGGCGTGACCTCGGGCACGCCCGCGCCCCGCCGCACGCTCCCCGCCATCGACGCGCCCGCCGGGGGCGCCACGCTGTACTGCTGGGTCCTCTCCGCCGCGCAGGGCGAGGAGCCGGCCATGCTGGACTGGCAGGCCAAGAAGAAGGTGGGGCCCTTCCAGTGCGACAAGGCCCAGGTCTACAGCAACCAGGCCGTGGAGATCGGCGGCATGACCGCGGCGGTCATAGACAGCGACATGAAGTGCGAGTACGGAGGGGACTCGCAGTCCGCCCTGAACACCTGGATCTTCATCGCTGCATGGGAGAAGGTCTTCCAGCTTGGCGACTACGCCCTGTACGAGTGGACGGTGAAAGTGGACGCCGATGCAGTATTCTTCCCGAACAGGCTCAAGTCCATCCTGGCGAACCACGCTGGCGCGGCCTACCTGAGCAACTGCCAGTACGGGCTCCACGGGCCTATCGAGGTGTTCTCCAAGGCCGCCCTGGACGCTCTGTCGGCTGACTACCAGAGGGCGTTCGACAAGAAGTCGCCCGCCACCTGCGTCAACGGGCTCGAGTTCGGGGAGTCCAGGGGCAACGTTTAGGGGGGGGATGGGCTCAGGGGTGCGGGGGGGGAGGCATCGGCCCCCAATCGCCCATGGGGGTCGATCGCCCACCCCGCCCGGGACCGCTCGGATTCGCTATCGGGGGCTGATCGCCGATCGGCGATGCATCGCCGATTCCAGGTCGACGCTTCCCCCCCCCAGAGCTGAAGTCGGGCATGTCCCTCTACACGAGGAAGCTTCAAGAATGGTGAAACATAGGCAGGTGACGATTTTCGTCTACCGTTTGACATTTTTGAATAGTTTTGGACTGCTTTTTTTCCCCCCTTCCGCCCTCCGCCTGTAGGAAGGCATGCCCAACCTAAACCTGAGCCGGTCTCTCCCTCTCGCTGCTCCGCAGGAGTACGGGGAGGACATGTTCATAGACCAGTGCCTCGGCAAGGTCCTGGGCGTCGGCGCGCCCGCCCTCGAGCCGCTGCTGATCTGCGAGGACCACTGCGACTGCCCGGAGTACTACGCGTGCCCGGCCATCGGGTCGGACCAAAGGGGGAGGGGCCCAACGGGCAGGGGGGTGGGCTCCTCCTCCCTCCTCCTCCTCCTCCTCCTCCTGCTCTCTCCTCCTCCTCCCTCCTCTCCTCCTCCTCCTCCTCCTCCTCCTCCTCCTCCTCCTCCTCCTCCTCCTCCTCCTCCTCCTCCTCCTCTCCTCCTCCTCCTCCTCCTCCTCCTCCTCCCGCCTCCTCCTCCTCCTCCTCCTCCTCCTCCTCCTCCCTCCTCCCTCCTCCCCCTCCCTCCCTCCTCCTCCTCCTCCTCCTCCTCCTCCTCCCTCCTCCTCCTCCTCCTCCCTCCTCCTCCTCCTCCCCCTCCCTCCTCCTCCTCCCCTCCTCCTCCTCCTCCTCCTCCCTCCTCCTCCCTCCTCCTCCTCCTCCTCCTCCTCCCTCATCCCTCCTCCTCCTCCTCCTCCTCCTCCTCCTCCTCCGCCTCCTCCTCCTCCTCCTCCTCCTCCTCCTCCTCCTCCGGAACTCTGCTCCGTGCAGCTGGTCTCGGCCCCGCCGCCGGGCACACTCCTCGATGGACGGTGGCGCCTCCGCCGCCGGGAGGCGCCGGGGAGAAGGGCGGCTGCGTGCGCGGTTGCGCTACGCAGCCCCCCCCTCCTTGTGCTCGGAGGCGACGAGAGGGGGCGAACGGCCCAGGGGCGGGCACTGCAGTCAAGCCGCCAGTGGGGATGGGCCACCGTCCCAAGGGTCGTGGAGGACGATCAGTGGAGAGGGAGCATGTTGCCAAATACTTTTCAGATGTCCAAAACATGGCTCAAACATGTGCTAAACATGTTTTAAGCATGTTTAACACATGTTTAGAACATGTTTCCTACACTTTCAACTTTCAACTTCAATGATGGGACTGTTAGGGTGTCCATTGTCGTGGCATCCACAACCCAAGGGTACCCTCGCATCCTTGCCTCCTCGGTCCATCCTTGGCCACTTTCGTTGGCCGCGCCCTGGTCGAGAAGCTTCGAAAGGGGCGTACAAGGCCCTCGCATCCTTACTAAACGGGTTGGGACCTCGCCGAAGGCAGAGACCATCGGCGCCCTTGGATACATGTATTGCTGTCCCCTGGGCTATTCGCCCCCATCTTCGCCCCCCCATTTCACTCACCCCCACGCTCGCCCTTTCTAAGGCCAGCGACAGCTATCGGGTGACGTTCCACCCCTTCAAGTCGGTCGGCGCCTACGAGAACTGCATGGGCACCGCCCTCAACGGGCCGATCGCCACCGCGGGGGCCGACGACGACGACGACGACGAGGCGGTGGTGGCCACCGACGACGGTGCGGCCTACAGCGACGCGGCGGCGGCGGCGTACGGAGAGGAGTGAGGCGACGGTGCTCGACCCGCCGATCCCCCTCCCCCCTCCCCACCTCTGACATGGGCGAGGGCTGGCGCGGGTGGCGCTCTCGAGAGCTGGTGTCGCGTCTACACACCTCTGCTGGCGCATCATATCCTCCCTCCTCCTCCTCTGGCCACCTCATCCGTTTCCTCCTGCTCTGGCCTGCTCCTCATCCTCCGCCTCCTCCTCGTTCCTCTTCCTCGTCCTTCTCCTCCTCCTCCTCCTCCTCCTCCTCCTCCTCCTCCTCCTCCTCCTCCCCCTCCTCCTGCTGCTGCGCTCATGCCATCGATCTGAGTTCGTGGTGTCTTGATGCTACTATGGCAAGCAGGTGCGGCCCGGGATTCGCCAAAAAGGGCGTGCAAGAACACGAATCCTCCTCCTCATCTCCTCCTCGCCGCTTCTCCTTCGAGCGCAGGGCTGGCAGGCAGAGATGCCACTCCCGTCCCCGCACCCACGGTCCAGGCCGCACCCGGCTCGTCTCCCTCCCGCGCAGGCGGCAAGTGGGGCAGGTCGGCACCTCTCGTGCTGTTCCCGCTGGCTTCTGAGCCTCCTCCGCCGAGCCAACCACCGACGCTCAACTGATCCTCCTCCATGTCGGGCAGCCAATGCGGCTACGGCGAATGGTAGCTGGACGAGTCTAGCTCCACTCCCCCCGACATGGCCTCCCCCCACCCAACCGCAGACTGCCTCATGCACCGTGGAACGGTTGCAGGTGCGCAGGCGCGGCAGCAGTGAAATGCCAGCCTATACGTCGGGTCGCCAGTCTTCTGACTGCTCTCTTGGCAGCGCGGCATATATCTGCAGGCGGGGCTCTGTCCATCTCAATGTGTAGCGCTACTTCTCGCACATGGGTGTCCGTAGCCACAGTGTGGGCCACACTCGCTCTCGAGCAGATGTCGTGAAGCTCGGGTAGTGGCCAACCACGGCCTTCCCAAGCCATTATGCTAGGTATAGCTGCGCTCGCGGAGTGAGCTAAGAGTTCGACTGCACTCCGAAGCGCACGATAGCTGTTGCCCACGCGTGCGCGAGTAGGAGGCCCCATGGGTAGTCTGACGAACGCAAGTGATCGTGCTGCCTCCGGGTGTCAGCTGAGGTTTCGAGGAAAATGCCTACCATTGTCCCAGCATCGACCTGCTCGTGCCAGAAACGTGGACCACAAGCATTTAGATCTAATCTGAGAACTGCAGGGGGCTCCTGACCTGCTTGGCTTCTATAGATGTCACGAAATACGGTACTGCCAGGCTTCTGCGTAAAGCGAACTACTGCTAAACCTTGCTTTCCTTCGCGATGTGGTTGAGGTCGCATCGGCCTCATCTCGGGGGCAAAATTGCCGTCGGGAGTCTAACGAGCTCAAAATCAGTTGTAGGGCCTGGTTTCCATCCAGGAGGTCGGAGCACAAGAATAAGGGCTTTCGATTCCGAGCATCCTCGTCTGCGAAGGCTCTGCTTCAGTATAGTATCTTGGGCTGCCAGAGCCTGCTCTACGTCTTCTGTGGTGCACTGCTGATCTGTGGTGCCTCCATCATCCTCCTCTGGCCACCTCATCCGTTTCCTCTTGCTCTGGCCTGCTCCTCATCCTCCGCCTCCTCCTCGTTCCTCTTCCTCGTCCTTTTCCTCCTCCTCCTCCTCCTCCTCCTCCTCCTCCTCCTCCTTCTCCTTCTCTACGCTGTGCTCCTCCTCCTCGCGTCCCCCATGCTCCAATTTTTTTATAGTTAGAGAGTCGCGAAGAGCAAGCAGCCACCCCTTTCCACAGGGGTGTGCCAGCTGTCGCGAGCACCGTCGCGGGAGTTTGCCCAGCAATGCTCTGGTTTTGCGGACAGGGCGCGAGGTGCCTTCGGATGCTCCTGTCGGGTCGGACGAGAGGGGTGGCATTCGGGAGTGCAGGGGAGTCCGACGTCTGCTGCGTGCAGCTGGTCTCGGCCCCGCCGCTGGCCGCTCTCCTCGACACACGGGCGCCGCTGGCGCTGGGAGGCGCCGGGAAGACCCGCTGCATGGGCTGATTCGTTAGCCCCCTTTTTTCATCCGACCCGATCCTGTCTACTCCCCCGCGCCTCCTCCTCTCCTCCTCCCCTCCTCCTTCCCCTCCCTGGAGGCCATGATGGCGCCACAGGGTGAGTCGAGTCGTCGGTCGAGTCCTCCTCTCCCCGCCTGCTCCTCCTCCTCCTCCTCCTCCTCCTCCTCCTCCTCCTCCTCCTTCTCCTCCTCCTCCTCCTCCTCCCCCCCCATTCTCCCCGTCCTCCTCCTCGTCCTCTTCCTCCTTCTCCTTTTCATCCTCCTCGTAATGATCTCCCAGTCCTCTTCGTCCCCGCCCCTCCCCCTCCTCCTCCTCCTCCTCCTCCTCCTCCTCCTCCTCCTCCTCCTCCTCTTCTATTGTGGGGGGGTCGCTGGGCCAAGCCTAGCGGAAGAGTAGTTGCTCTTTCATGCCTTCAGTTCTCAGTTTCTTACCCTCGGCCACTCATCACCCCTACCCTTCGTGCCCGGCCGCTTTGACGGGCCGGTTTTTCCCCGCCGCCAGCCCCCTCATGGGGAGGGCGCTGGCTGGCCTCGCGACGTTTGGCGCCCGGCCCGGGCCCCCCGAGGGGAGAGCGGCGTCGTAGGCTCGCGCGTTGCGGTTGGCGTCCCCTTCCGCGCCGCGCCGCCTTTCTTCCGACGTGGCGGTGCCCACACAGGGTATAGCGCGAGGGGGGGGCGGCCGTGTGTGGGGGGGGGGGCATTCCTGGAAGGCGAGGGGGGGGGTTGTCCGAGAAGGGCCCTTTGGGGTGCTTCTGAGAGGGCCTCTTGGCATCTCATCTGGGCACTTTGAATTACACTTTGGATCGGGCATGTCCTCCTACAGGGGGAGTTCGGAAGAGGAATTATCCCAGTGCGACCCTACCTAGGAGTTGGAACCCCTAGGAAAGCAACATTAGTAGTAACAGTAACGCTAAGCTAAAGCTAAGCTAAAGCTAAGCCACAGCTAAGCTAAAGCTAAGCTAAAGCTAAGCTGGATCTAAGCTACAGCTAAGCTAAAGCTGAGCAACAGCTAAGCTAAAGCTAAGCTACAGCTAAGCTAAATATAAGCTAAAGCTATGCTAAAGCTAAGCTAAAGCTAAGCTACAGCTAAGCTCAAGCTAAGCTAAAGCTAAGCTAAACGCTAAGCGAAAAGCTAAGCGAAACGCTAAGCTAAAGCTAAGCTACAGCTAAGCTAAAGTTAAGCTAAAGCTCAGCTAAAGCTAAAGCTAAAGCTAAAGCTAAAGCTAAAGCTAAAGCTCCCAGGGGACTGGGGTGAACCGCGGGGCGGGGAACCGCCCGGGGCGCTTTCCACTGCCCGGCCCCTTTAAGCTAGAGAGTAAGAACCCTTCTAGGCAGAGCCTAGGTAGGGAATAAAACATGGCCAAACAAAACTGCAAGCATCATCAAAACAAGCTCGACAAATCGCCACCTGACTATTTCTCCATTCTCGAACTTTCCCCCCTGTAGAGGGATATGCCTGGCTTGATCATACACAGGCCGCTGCCTTCTCGGGAGCTCCCCGACATCACGTGCGGCCGCTCCCCCCGCGCCACCCCCTTCTGCGCGCGCCGCCAACCGTCTGCGGGCACCTCCGCGGCTCAGGAGTGCCGCGCCGGGGGCGGGATGCATGGGGACGAGAAGGCCGGCAGCCTTATAGCTGCTTCGACACGTCCGTGTTGCAACGCAACAAATGCCTTGAAGAAGAACAAATTCTAGACGCTTCGCGTATCCCCACCAGCCCGTCCAGAAACGACGCCCAGGCGAGTAGAGGGTCGTCCTGAGGGGCTTTTCGGCGTCTTGGGTGCCTCGGGGGGGCCTCTGTGGGCCGTTCGGGATCCTCTTTGGGGCCTCCTGGGGGCCTCTTGGGGCCTCTTGGGGCCATCTTGGGGCCTCTGGGAGCACCTTGGGTGCCTCTGGGGGGTCTCTTGGGGCCTCTTGGGGGTCTCTTGGGGGCCTCCTGGGGGCCTCTTGGGGTGCCTCTTGGGGTCATCTTGGGGCCATCCTGCGGCCTCTTGGGGCATCCTGGGGGCCTCTTGCGGCCATCGTGGAGGAAATCGATCAAAGAAGAGGGGTTCCTTAATTAGAGCCCCCCCCAGGAGCCACGATCCTCGTGAGGGGTGTCGAATTTTAGCCTTCCCAGGGGTCGATCTTGGGCGCTCCAGCGCGCCGCGGAACCCCCTGTCCAGGTCAGTGGGGAGGGGGTACCGACGCCCAGAGGGCTGGTGGGACTCCACAGTTACCAGCCTGTTCCCAAGATAAATAATAACTTCGATACCTCCGTGTTGCACGCAAAACGATGCCAATCTCAGGGATTCCCTTATTTTTTGAGGGCGCATCCCTAATATTGTCATCGCCTTTTGGCGTGTCAATCTCAGGGATAAGGGATATGCTCGAGGCTGGTAACATAGACATTAATTTTTAGCGCTCAGCTCGAATTTCTTGGATCCGCGATGGGCCCCCCGGGCGGCGCCATTGGCGCCGCCCCTGGCGCGCTCTGCGCGCCAGGGAGGGGGGTCCAGCGCAGATCCAAGACATCCTCGCGGACCGTCGGAAGTTTCGGTTTATGGTGTCTTCGTCTGGTACCGTGTTCAAAACGTCCGTGTTCACGCGTTGCATGTTTGCATGTTGGCTCCACGAGTTGGCCCACGTGTTGGCGAATGTATCGCGCCAGACTTACGTTTTCAGTCTACGTGTTGAGCTCCATATCAGCAGGCTGCGGATTGCGTGGTGCGTATCGGGGCGGCTAAGCTGGCAGCAGTTCCTGTTCACTCTGGGCTGCTGTCAGTGTCGCCGCGGGCGTTGTCAGACTCAACAGCGGCCGCTTTCGATCAAGGGAGGAAAACCACCAGGACCCGACAATTGACGTTTACTAAACGGCCTTTGACGTTTACTAAACAGCCATGACCTGTTCGATTCCTTCCTTGGTGTGTTTACTAACTAAACGGCTTCGCTTGCCGGGGTAATTATTATGGGGTTGGATTTTCTCCCGTTCGCTGTTGGGCATCGCCCCCATTATTCTTGCCCCCAGTTTGTGCGCCCAGGGAGGCTCGGATTTCTACAGGTCCACCGCCGGGGGGGGGACTCTGGGGGCTGTGGTGGTGGATCTGTTCGGGGCCTGGGGTCCCCGATGCCACATGGGGCGCTTCAGAAAGG